CTACTCTAATCATGTCAAAGACTGGAATCAAGGTGTAATTCCCATTTAAGGGGACTTGATAGAACACAAACTGTGAAATTCTAAATAATCTGATAATTTACCTGAACAAAATTTAGAATTTATATAAAATTTATATACAGATAACACAGCCCAGTTACTCATGGTACTTACAGAATTTGCTTATGAGATTATGATATTACTTTTTACGTTATACAGATCACATATTCAACTACACATACCTATTTACATAGGACATCCGGGAGAAAAGAAGAAATGGTTAAGGCTTGGTAATCAATAAAAATACCTTTTGAGGTTTTAATACTACCTTACTACAAACAGAATCTAAACTAGACGATAACTAATTTAGCACACTTTTTGTGTGTGATTAGGTTAAATTACTGTTTCGAAACAGGATGAGAATTTATAAGTTAGTAACTCTTTCTTTAAAGTCTTTACAACTGCTTAAGGAAAGTACACCCAAACTCCCTTTAAAAATTTGCTTAGTAATTTTCAAACAACCGAATTATAATTTAAATAACTTGTGATAATTACTCTACAACTTTACACTCCTTAAAAAATTTCCCCTTCAATTTAGGGAATCAGTCCTCATAACGGCACAAAATATAATGTCATTAAACAAGTTTAAGCTGTATCACATTTTTAAATGATGTGGGTTTTACAACACTCTTTCTCTATGTGGTTAAATTACTTTTCTCTCTTTTTTGAAAGAATTTAAGTATTACATTCATGCCATACATTAATAAAGTTTGGTTCAATTGCCAGCAGGCTGGCCTTTTTTGGTTAAATTTATCATGCTCGCCATTCTCTACTACGTTCACACAAGCTCTCATAACCAACAAATTAACCTAACATTTCAAGTCATCTTTGCACTTTTCATCTAAACACACTTTGAAACCAACTTACAAGATTATCTGAAAGTTTGAGGGTCAGTGAAGTGGGTAAAGAGAAAGTTGAAATATTTTAAACCCCACTTGAAAACCACACACACAAACTGAAATCAAGTGTCATGTGAACCACCCCAATTTCCTTTGCAGCCTAAATCAGCAGCATATGTTCAGCTCAACCCTTTAAAAAAGCCCTCTGAGCTCGCAACTTCCTCTTCTCGGCCAGACATGTCAGTCTCCTCCTGTGGGTGACGGTCTCCGGGACTTGGGAGGATGCGGGTCCGGCACAGACGCGCGCCCCTGTCCAGCCCGCTAGTGAGGCGCTCACCGGCAGCTCCCCGCCTCCCCGCCTTTGCTTACGCTGCTCCCTCGGCCGGGAAGGAGCCCCTAGGAGCCTCACCAGAACCCCGAAAGGGTCCAACCCGAACGCAGACGACTTGGTTTACTTCCCCTTCGGGTACAGGCTGACCTCAACCATGGCTATAAATACGAGGCTCCCTCCCTTGCCCTCTAAGCCGTTCCCTTCCCACCAAAAGAGATCCACGCATTTATTCACTGAAAATGAATATTTACATAAGCAATACCAAGTGGTTTTCATCCCTACCCCTACTGTAAAACATGGGTATTCTAAAAATCCTCTTTTCCCTTCTTTCCAACAAAGGAACAAACAAAACAAAACCCCGTAAACTAGGATGTGCGCACTGTACTGTAAAAATTGCCCACTTTGTCGAAGCAACATTTCCACTTTAAGCCCTGTTAAATGCCCCTGGTGACACATTAAAGGCACATATTCTGTACCACTGTTAGCACAGCAGCATCACCTCTTAGCACTGGATGAAATTAAACTAAACTAAACACACACACACACACGCACTCAAAGCTCTCCTGAGGTTCCGCATTTCTAGTCTAAAACACAAAACCACCATTTCAAAATCCATTTTTCAATACGAGAACTCTTCGTCTCCTGTAACTTAGATGATTACTTTCCTAACTTCTAAAGCCAAGTCGTGGGGAATTTCTAAGGTTCCGGCTATAGTAATGGCATCACATTACAGAGCTTGGCTTTGATTTCGCACGCAAACCTTGAACCATTTTTTTTTTTACAAGACTGACACTTTGCCAGGGAAGGCGATTTTAAAGTCAGAAGGCGCCACAATCAAAACGGGGCCCCCGAAACTGAGCAGCAAGCCCCCCGCCCCGCGCCCGGAACGAGCTCCTTTTCACCCCCAGACCCGGATCGGCCCCGGCGCCGGGCGCACTCACCGGAGGCCATGGCTCCGCTCCGCTCCGCGCCGCGCGTCCGGACCGAAGGCAGCCGCAGTCAGTCAGCCCGCCGCGCCGTCACTCTGCCGCCCGGACCCCTGCGTCCCCCAGGCCACCC